CCGCTCCTGGGCCAGCTGCAGTGCCGGGGGCTGCGCCAGACGCCTTCGTCATCCCTGAACTACGGCTGCTCGCTCCCTCCCGTCCCTTTCCCCCTTAAACTATGTGGCGCAGTTTGGAGCCGCGGGCTCGGGTGGTGGGGGGGGCAGTTGGGGGGAAGAAGGTTTGTCATGATGGGCATCTGGAGGAGCAAATGGGGAGCTAGAGCTGAGATTTGGGTAGGCCAATGGAGAGCCGATGGAGGCGGGGCGCCGCGCTCCGGAACCACAGGCAGGCCCCCAGGCTTAACCAGCGAAGTGCCGGCGCTGGTGGGCGGGCCGGGCGGGCCCGAAGGGTCTCTCTCCCCTTACCCTCGCTGGCGGCTAGAACGCCTCCCGGTTCATGTGTCATACATTCCCCTTAACCCCCTCTCCGGTCTCAAGATTCACTTCCACCACTCACGCTTTATCTGGAAGTCGACCTTGAGTAGGAACCTGTGAGGTAGATGACCACAACCGCCGTGACTCACAAGATCTTGGCCAGTTACAACCAGGGCTTTGGGGACCACCTAGAGCAATGAGACATGATGTACCCTTGAAACATGGGCAGGATCGGGTCCTCAGACCTGCCCTGCTTTCTAGAAGAATCTTGGTCCCAGCTAGACTTTGCTCTTACACCATGTCGGCTACAGAAGAGAGCCTTTCCTGTCCAGTTAGGATCCAGTGTCTTGGGTTATAAGGGTGCAAAGAGAATGCTTATTTTCTTGGTTCCAGGAATCAGGTCTTTGCAGTCTGTTTGCAAATCTTCTGCTTGCTGAGGCTAGGTTAGCCACCCAATATGCCCTGCCCTATTATGGTTGCTTTGTGTGGTAGGCAGCATGACATTTTTTCTTGTCTTCCAGGTCAATATCCAACGCAGCCAACCTACCCTGTGCAGCCTCCTGGGAATCCTGTGTACCCCCAGACCTTGCACCTTCCTCAGGCTCCACCCTATACTGATGCTCCACCTGCCTACTCAGAGGTGCTTCCAGTTTCCTAAACTTGAAGTGAATACTCTTGGGTCACATTTTCAGTCCTTAGCTAAGTCTGACTCCACACATCTGTTTACTCTCCAGAAACAGGAGAGAGTGCTCATGTGAATAATCTAAAACACTGTATAGTTCAGCCATTTCTGTTGGAATTGAGAGTGCATCATCAGATTATTTCATGTTATCTGGCACAGGCTGAGGTTAAGAAGATGAGTTTGCGTTCCTTGAGCCTAACATTAGCTATAGCAGGAAGTGATCCAGGAGAATATCATATCAAATGGCAGTGGAAAGGCAACTTCAGAGTGTAATGTGCACAAGGAGAATTAAGAATTGACTAATTGTGGGGGAGGGTATAGCTCAATTGGTAGAGTGCATACTTGGTCTAGCATGCGCGAGGTCCTGGGTTCAATCCCAGTACCTCCATTAAGTAAATAAATAAATAAACCTAATTATCTCCCCACTCCAAAAAAGAAAAAAAAGGAATTGACCCATTAAAGAGATCTGAAATAAGAGTGTCATAAAGTAACTTGTCACCTTCTCTTCTACCTCTTCTAGCTCTATCGTCCGAGCTTTGTGCACCCAGGGGCTGCCACAGTCCCCACCATGTCAGCTGCATTTCCTGGCGCCTCACTGTATCTCCCAATGGCCCAGTCTGTGGCTGTTGGACCGTTAGGTTCCACAATCCCCATGGCTTATTATCCAGTTGGTCCCATCTATCCACCTGGTTCAACAGTGCTGGTGGAAGGAGGGTATGATGCAGGTGCCAGATTTGGAGCTGGCGCTACTGCTGGCAACATTCCTGTGAGTATGACTTTATCACAAAAAACTCAGCCCTTGTGTATGTTAACGTTCGGAAATGACTACCAAGTCATCCTTTCATCATCCCTGGATAATAGTTGCCAGTATCGGCGCCACCACTGACGTCCAGTAGTCAGGCATAGAGCACCTGATGGGGAAGAACTGTGGCAAGTCAGTAGTGTCTGGCACATTCACTGGGGTCATATTAATCAGATTCCTTTGGGTTCCTGTCTTAGGAATCCTGCCTGCTGCTTTTCCAGTTCACACTGGTACTAGTCTGGTAACACTCCTCATTCATTTCATAAGCATTTACTTAATATTTGCCATCAGCATGGCATTGTATTAGGAACCATGATGATTAAAAAAGTAGAATGCATAATCCTAGTTAACTTGCAGGGATTTTAATTATGTCCCTTTATGTATGGGAATTAGAGGCCAAATGGTCCTTGCTAGGGCCAGCCATCTACTCAATAACCATATCCTAGAGACGAGGTGAGAATGCTGTCATTAGGTTGAACCTTCAGATTACCCAGGGGCCACCTGAAAACTGTTGAGGGACCTGTGAAAGAGGGCCATAAACCTGGTACCCCCTGGACTGCCCATATTCAGAAGGTATCCATGGGCTTTACCTTGGACCCAGAATGCTTTAAGCGAGTGGCAGGTTCTGTCTCCTGTTTGTATCTTTGGGCACAGAGAGTATAGACCTGCTTTACCCAAATTGGTATCACAGCTAGCTCCTTGAGATGCCATTGGTTAGCACATTGCCATCTTCCTGACTGGTCCTCTTTCACTTCTGTCCACTTCCCTTGTATCAGCTGCCCTGTGCCCAATCAACCTTGTCTTTTCCTTTCAGCCTCCTCCCCCTGGATGCCCTCCCAATGCTGCTCAGCTGGCAGTCATGCAGGGAGCCAATGTCCTCGTAACTCAGCGGAAGGGAAACTTCTTCATGGGTGGCTCAGATGGTGGCTACACCATCTGGTGAAGAACCAAGGCCACCTCTGTGCCGGGAAAGACATCACATACCTTCAGCACTTCTCACAATGTAACTGCTTTAGTCATATTAACCTGAAGTTGCAGTTTAGACACATGTTGTTGGGGTGTCTTTCTGGTGCCCAAACTTTCAGGCACTTTTCAAACTTAATAAGGAACCATGTAATGGTAGCAGTACCTCCCTAAAGCATTTTGAGGTAGGGGAGGTATCCATTCATAAAATGAATGTGGGTGAAGCAGCCCTAAGGATCTTCCTTTAATTCCTCCGGAGTAATACTGTACCATACTGGTCTTTGCTTTTAGTAATAAAACATCAAATTAGGTTTGGAGGGAACTTTGATCTTCCGAAGAATTAAAGTTGCCAAATTATTCTGATTGGTCTTTAATCTCCTTTAAGTCTTTGATTTATATTACTTGTTATAAATGAACTGCATTAGTTGTCTGCCTTTTCCTTTCCAGCCTCTGCCCCACGTCCCACCCTCAACCCTAGTCTTCCATTCCTTCCCACCAATCTCCATTGAATCAATGGTGCAGGACAGAAAGCCAGTCAGACTAATTTCCTTCTCTCCTTGCACTTCTCCCCATTTGTCATCTTTTAACTAGTCTTTCACAAGGATCCTCTGAAACCCCCTCTGTGCCCCAAGCACAGACCCATTACTTCTGCTTTTGCATCTCCTCAGGCAGATGTGGAGGGTGCCTTTAGGACCCTCCTCATAGCTTGTCTCTTCATACATGAACCAAACCCAGATTTGCTTTGGTGCCAGAAATCCTGAGATTTGTTTTAACAGAGGATATCAGCGCAAACTATCGTAAACAGCAGTTTGTTCATAATTTGAGGGGCAAGGAGGAGGATGCATTTAAAAGCCTGATGACTCTAAAGCCAAATTAAGGGGAGTTTTCAGATCAAAAATTGGTTGCCATTTATTGTCAGTGTCTGATGCAGCCACTCATGGCTCCCAAGAATTCTAAGCTGGGTTAATGGGGTCACGTTTTGAACACCTCACTACAAAATGACTTGAGTCCAGTGAAATCTCATTAGGGTTAAGACTATTTCAGGGATCCTTAATATTTTGATTTTTGTTTTCTAAAATTGGATTTTATTTTATAATTTCAGTTCATCTAAATTTTGTGTTCTGTACATGTGATGTTTGACTGTACCATTGACTGTTATGGAAGTTCAGCGTTGTATGTCTCTCTCTACACTGTGGTGCACTTAACTTGTGGATTTTTTATACTAAAAATGTAGAATAAAGACTATTTTGAAGATTTGAATAAAGTGATGAAGTTGCATTACACCTCACTTCAAGGATTCTTCACTCATCTTGTTTTTAGATCTCTTCTGTATGTGTCTTTTATATCCCACCTAGAATTCAGATAGATGCTGCTTTAGTTCTGTTTTTAAAATAATTGCAGGAATACAAGGTTAAGATTTGGCCATTTTCATGGGTTCCATTCTAGATGTTTAACTTTCCTCCATTTTACTTCCTAAGCCTTTTCAGATCCTTAAGAGTCTATTATGCCAGAGGAATTCAGGACATAAACTTAGAAATAAGGGAGCAACTGATTCTCCTAACTTGCCCTTAAGTTTAACTTGAGGAAAATGTTTTAGTATAACAGTCTATGTAAGTTCCGAGTGACCCTCAGTTTCTCTGAGTTCTGAAAACTGGAATCTACATGGCCAAGATCGAGTCCTTAGCTCTTGGGTCTTACCTTGGGTGGACTTGAGCTTGAACAATGGAGGCAACATATTTAAGACCTCAGAGGTAGCTTAGCTGCAAAGTAAACAACTTCTGGAGAGTTCATGATTTTTACCAAAACATTGTACCTTTGAAACATACCTCATTTTCAGGTGAAGTTAGATCCAAGAAGCTTCTCAGGGCTTGATGTAAAGGACACTGGTGGGGAAAGTGATAGGTAGGTTGCGTGTACACAGAATGGGTCTGGAAGATTCTGGCCCTCATCAGGATGGGGGCCGAACTAACGTCCCAGCATATGTTTCTAATGACATGCCTCTAGGAGAAATTTCCCAGGACCATTTTTGTTTCAAACCCCTGAGTTGTTCTGGGAGACTCTGAAACTTCCCAAGGGCCCTTTTTGCTTGGAAGCAAAGGAGTTAAATCAGCAAAAGAAAATGTCAAAAAAAAAAGTTCAAGCAAGGCTAAGTCAAAATAGAAAGGAAATTATTTCTTGCACGTGAGAATCTGATTTCTGTATCAATGAAAAATTTTAATTCTGAACAAAAAAGTATAGGTCTGGGTTGTTGGGGAATCTGGAAAGGAAGGGCTCAGACGTGGCACATTTGGCAGAAGTGAGGGGTCCACAGTCTCCTGCCCCTCCTGGCCTGGCCTGTTACTGTGGCATCCAGCCCCTGGGAAGAACACCTATGGGACACTATTTCCACTTGGGCTGTCAACCAGGTAGGGGACAGAGGAGCATCCAGCGACCCCAACTCTCCTCCTTCCACCTGTGAGAAAAGTGAAGATGACTGGGCCCATGCTCAAATGTTGCCTGGTACAGCATCACCTCGTTGGTCAGCCACAGACACCAGCTTCACCCGGCTGAAGACATCATAAGCAGCTTTTCTCCATGTCCCCGGTCCCTGGCATCAGTGATGTTCGCATTTGGGCCTGTGTCCTGGAAGGAGCTCAGGTCTGCCCATATCAATCCATGCTTCTCACCAGTCTCAGATAAAACTTTCACCTAATAAACAGTGTGTTAGCACTGGAGCCTGGTGTAAGCAGCGTGGGGCCCAGCAGTCATTAGATGAAATATTCCTCCTTTTCCCTACCCTTGGCTGAGTCACTCTCCATCTGGAGGACGGCGCCGGGCTCGCCTTCTGCAGGTTCATAGGTGACGTAGCTGCCTTTGTTCTTGTACAGGTAAAAGAAGATCAAGATCACGACTGAGAGCAGGGTGAGGAAGACCACGGTGATAACAACTTGGAAAGGAGAGGGAAAATGCACAGAGGTTTCAGGATTGAGGATGGCTCAGTAACTCCCGGGGTCCCCCGCATTGGACGATTCCCTCACTCTTTGTGAGGCTTGTGCTGAAGTTAACTAGCGTCCACTTTCAAATCCATATTTTCCCACCACGCCCGACTGACTTCCTCAGTACATGATATCTGGAGTCTCTTGGTGCTTAAGAATGCAAGACTTGATTTTTGACAAAACGGAACTCCGTCTCAACCAGTTCCTGATGATTATGATAGAGACAGGAAGGAGGGAGACAGGAAATAGCTTATCCCAACAGGAAGGGTTTTTTAAATCCATAGCCTCCTGTGGGGGTTTCTGATCCCTCCCATCCTCCTCCTCACCCACTCAATAGACCACACATATCCTCATCCCTACCCCCATACTCAATCTGAGTACCCAGATGCACTGTATCTATTTGTGGCCACCTCCCAACCTATCCTTACTGGCAGCGCCTCTGACATGAAGCCTCTAAGAGTCTTTTATAATCTTGTGTGTGTGTGTGTGTGTGTAACATAGCCTACAGGCCAAGATGAGCCCATTAATGGGTTTGGTCTCCAATTTGTAGTGCTTTTCTGTATAGGGAAAATCCGAGTTTCCTGGCTGTCTCCAGAGCAAGATGGCCCATGAGCTCAGAGGTTCCCTTAGATTTGTCAGAGCCTTTGTTACCTGCAATGAGTGCTGTGCTGGCTTCAGCTTCTGGGGACAGGGTCTCAGTGGCCTGTAGAACTGGGGTGGCCATCAGTTCTTCTGGAAAATTTTGCAAAGTGGAAAAAGCAATGGCTGAATTCTTTTGTTCTAAAACATGTTTTAGACAACCTTCAATTTCACCAACCCATCTTCTTCCCTATTCAAAAATTTACCATTTAACTCCTACAGTCCATCTATACAGAAAAACCCAAAGGGCAGGGAAGAAAACAAACCACCAACCAAGACAATGAACATTTTGATGGATTTCTCTCTGCCTAATATAGTGATTAAGAGTATGGGCTCTAGAGCCTGACTGACGAGGTTCAAATCTGAGCTCTGTCTTTTATAGCTGTGTGATCTTCAGAAAATTACCTAACCTCTCTGAGCATCAGCATGTGCAACTGCAAAATGGAGATAATAGTACCTATTTTAGTGTTCACTTCAGCGGGACATATACTGAAATTGGAATGATATGGAGAAGATTAGCATGGCCCCTGTGTAAAGATGACACGCAAATTCATGAAGTGTTCCATATTTTTAGAAAGAGACTCACAGACATAGAAAACAAACTTACAATTACCAAAGGAGAAAGTAAGGGGGAGGGATAAATTAGAAGTTTGGGGTTAGCAGATACAAACTACTGTATACAGAATAGACAAACAACAAGGTCCTACTGTATATACATAGGGAACTATATTCAATATCTTATAATAACCTATAATGGAAAAGAATCTGGAAAAGAATATATATATATATATATATATATGTGTGTATAATGAATCACCATGCTGTACACCAGAAACTAAAATAACGTTGTAAATCAACTATACTACAATTTTTCAAAAAGTACCTACTTTATAGGGTTGTGACATGTAACTCAGTAAGGGTAAGCTTTTATTATGAATGTATATTTTTGCATAAATGACACCAAGTGATGGCTGTATATATATTATATGGCACATGCATTTCTTCAATGGTCTTATACATTCTTTGTAGACATAAATAAATGAAATAATGCTGCTCCCTTATTAAAACCCTTTTCTATACTTCCAGAGTAGGCCCCACAATTTGAGATTCTGAAATAAGGCCTTTCCTACCCTAAAATCTATCCCACACCTCCTTCTTCTATTGGTCTGTGTCTCCTTCAGAGCCTAAAAGTCCCACCCCTACATTCACTCCCCAGGGTTGGAACACTACAAAACTGGGGGGTCTCCAGAAGTCCCTTGTAAGCGTTGACATGAGAAGTCAGGAAGCCCTTCAGTTCTCTCCTAGTTAGCATTTTGGTGCAGGGGTTTGAAAAGCTAACAGTTAAGCAGAGATTACAGCAGGACAGAGGTATCCTGGGGAAAACAGGCTGACTGACCCTGGAATCACCCACCGGAGGCATCTCAATAGTCACCTAACAAATAATAACAGGCCATGCCTGGGCGAGGCTCGTGGGCGCGAGCAGGGCAGACACGGTCCCCCTGCACGGAGCTCAGCGCCACCACTCCAAGTTCACAGTTAATAGACGTCCGGGCACTCAGCACAGCAGGTGGCAGAGGCGCCTGAGCTACTGCTCTTCCGACAGGAAGAGCCCCTCCAGGAAGCAGGATCTGAGCTGGGAGCTGAAGCAGAGGCAGGAGTTTACAGGGTAAAAGGGGCAGGAGGTGGGGCACATTCTAGGCAGAGGGAAGGGCCTGTGTCAAAGCTCTGAGATCACAGGACTCAAAGGCCAGAGTGGCTGGAACACAGGGCGTGAGCCTGATTCCTCTCACGCGCGACACCTTCAGGCTTCCATCCAGGACCGGAAATTAAGTCACCAGTGGGGGTCTCGTGGGCCTGGGAGCAGTGCTAAGTGGTCTTTTCACACCAGCCAAGGGGAGGCCTGATGAACTGTCCTGGTCCTGCCCCAGAGAAAGCAGTGGTGGGCCGCCTGGATGGCCTCCTGCTCCCAGGGTCAGGCCAATCCCTTCTCCACTATTCTCCACTCTTCCTGTAGGAGTGGTGATATACTCAGCTACTTTGTGGCCTCGGGCAAGTGGTTGCAACTCTTGATTCACCCATTCATTCTCATCTATAACGGATGGGAACCATACGAACCAACTTTACAGGGCTATTGTGGAGACCAGATGAGAGACCATGCAGACAAGCATCATATGGTAGCATTTACTTAAAATGCTATTTAAGGTGATTTTGTTTATATGCTGAGTGATTAAAAGGGAAAGCCGCTCTGGGTTTGAATGCCACCCCAGCGTTTTCCTAGGTAACTTTGAGGATGTTACTACACCTCTCGGAGCCTCAGTTTCTTTCCCATACTGTAAAATGGGAGAGTGGTAGGCAGACTCTAAGATGGATCTCCTGGTGTTCACACCTGAGTAAGTCCCTCTCGCTGCATGTCAGCTGCACCCAGTGACTTGCCTCTAACAAACAGAATACAGCAAAAGTGATGGGATGTCACTTCCAAGATTATCCTGTGACTTCCATCAAAGACAAGCCCTAAAGTTTATCCACCTGACCATTGCCTCAGACTGCTGCCCCTCGCCACACACGCTTTCCTCCCCTGAACCTTCCAGGGCTGCACGCCACCTTCCCACCACTGATCTCGAGTTCTGTACAGCTGTTCTCAGGTTTGTCTTTCTCAAACACTTGAGAACTTAGGATATACAAAGCACCGTGAAGAATATGTATGTAGAGAACTTCAATACAAAGCTAAGATTCAGTTCAATCAATCAACAACAATTTACTCTACACCTAGCACAAGTCTGAGGCACTGTCATAGACGCTGGGAAAGCAGCAGGGATGAGGTCCAGCAGGGACCCGACCACGGGGCTGCATTTTAGGGCAGGTTCACAGAATAGATGTGTATGAGTCCTGGGAAAGAGAAGCCAGGAGGAAAGATGGTTCCTAGTGGGGAAATTCTGCCAATGATTCCAATTGTAACAGCTGCCACATGCTATGTCCCTGCTTTGTGCTGGCTGCTGTCTACACATAATTATTAATCCTGAGAACACAAAAAAGTTCACAGTAGGTGTCTTTATTTGCTAATGTGGACCCCGAGGCCCTGGGAGAGTTAAGTGACACTCCTTATACTATACATGAAGAAACAGTACACGGAGCAATGATCTGAGTCCAGGACAACCCTCTCCAAAGCCCAAGCAAGGTATCTATACTAAACCTTCCTACCAATGTCCTTTTCTCTTTTTCCAATGGGGAAAATGGGGAAAACTGCAAGCCCATTTCCAGTAATGTGATTTCAGAATGTGAATCTTTCCTAAAACGCACATAAAGGTTATTAGCAAAAACGTCTATATTAGAGGCTGTCAGAGACTTAGAGGAATAGTGTCAGGAAGCTCTATATAGCTCAAGTTGGCAAACACATTGGAAGGACAATTTAAAAAGTGTTAATTTTGGAGCAAATACAAAGACATGGTTTAGGCTTGTTGTTGGGCCTGAAGCTAGCAGGTTGGAGGTAACAGAGTAAGCCCTTTTTGCCTCTGTCTCCTATTAAGGGAATGACTTTGCACTAAAGGAGTAGCAGGAACCTTGGTGATATTGGGGAGGTGAGCTCAAGAGAAGGGACTCCACCCACAAAGCACCAGCTAATCTGAAAGGGGTCCAGATAAGTGACAGCCAAGAGCACTGAAAGAACAGGTCAATGGGAGCCTTACTGGTGACATAGGAGTTTCTGAGAAAGAGAGAGGAGCCAGGGGCCTAAAGCCACAGAAAGACAATGGATTCTGTAAACAACTGGTGAAATTGATGTAATTCCCCAGCAAAATTCTCGAACAAGTTATACAGGACTGCGGTAGGGGATAGCTCAGTGGTAGAGTGCCTGCCTAGCATGTACAAGGTCCTGGGTTCAATCCCTAGTACCCCACCTTAAAAAATAAGTAAATAAGTAAACCTAATTATCTCTTCCCCTTTTAAAAAAAAAGTAAAAAAATAGGAGTGAGGGTATAGCTCAGTGGTAGAGATTGCATGCATGAGGTCCTGGGTTCAATCCCCAGTACCTCCATTAAAAAATAAATGAATAAACCTAATTACCTCCCCCTCCCCCCAAAAAACAAAAAAGGAAAACAAAATTATACAGAATTGCTCTGGGGGTCCTGAACTTGAAATAGCAAGCATCAGATGCACGACGGCACACGACGGAGATGACTTGGAAGGAGCAAGCGGGAGAGCAGGAGGAGATGAAGTCAAGGAGGCTGTATAACATGGGTGTTGGAGGCCATGGAAGGGCTTTGGCTTTTTCAGTGAGTGAGATGGGACCTTTCTAGAGGTTTCTGAGCAGAGACTGGATTTATATTTTAAAGCAGTGCTCCTCAAACTGCAGTGCGCAAGAATCTCCTAGGGAACTTGTTAAAATGCAGATTCTGATTCAGTAGGTCCAGGGTGGGGCCTGAAATTCCAAGGCTGTGCTTCTGAAACACTGACACCATCATGTTGTGAGGAAGCCCAGTCTAGCCCACTGGAGGATGAGAGGCCATGTGGATGCACCCCAGGCTCAGCTGACAGCCAGTACCAACTACTAAACGTGGGAGGGAGGTCATCTTAGACC